TCCCACATAGGGTTCCCTCAAGGAATCCTTATTATTTCTCCACTCAAGAAATAGGCAAGTAGCACCAGTTAGCGAGCTCGTGGTTCGGAATTAAAATCGGGGATCAGATTGCGCCAACGCCATCGAAGCCTTTCATCACCCGGGTCGCATAATTGATACTATACTTGTATAGGGCCATAACTGCTGTCTACAATTCGAAATGGAATAGAAAGCGTGGCGCAATTCAAGAAGGACATGATAGTCCTGTTACCATGCTCCAATTCTTTCTTACCCTTTCTTTTTTCATTGTATGCCGATTTTTTTTTGTGAGGCAAAAAATTTTGTTGAGTGGATTTGTTGACGAGGAAGTTGTATAAGTTTGGTCTTTGAACTCGATTACTGCGCTGAAATCTGAGTACCGAATGCGCTATTACTATCCCTTAGGTGGCTGAGCTCTGTAGAACTCGATAGACTTGCCATGTAAAACCAGCCTGATCAAGGTAAAAAACCGGTACTGGTCAGGTTTTTGTGGGTCTCTGTTAAGCTTTTGAGTTCCGATCAAAATTCTGTGATTTTCAGAACCAAACAAGAGCAATAAACTTCCTTCAATGAATCAAATGAGATTTTAATTGAAATTATACGATTTCCTGGTAAACAAGTATTCCAGCGCCGTCGTCATGGAGACTGTGGCGCGTCCAACTCTTCACTAATCCCTTTCCATGACCACATTGGTATTTCTGGTACTATGAATATTAGTCGAGGGGAAATAGTATCGGCTGCTGATCTGCCTTTGGAGACTTTTCTTCCGTTAGTTGTTCTCGTTGGTATTATCGTCTATTGCTTGGCAATCGCCGCCGTTGTCCTCGTTATCTACGCAAAATACGTAAGTCTTTCAGTTCGGACGTCAATAAATATACTTACTCATGTATTTGCTTTAATGTTTGATTAAGTATATCCAATTTTGAATGCTTCATTGAGTGTAGGGTGCCAAAGCAGTTGGAGTGGGCAGTCAGCACCGCGGTTTTAACTCCCCGGCTAACGGATTCTCGCTTCGCAATAAAGGTCCTTGCCGCGCCCTTTATTGCGAAGCGAGAATACGTGAGCCGGGGAAAATGCAGACAGTTCAGGGGTGGGGTGTGTTGCTTGAAATGGTGAAAAGCTGGAATGTGCAAGCTTGTACTGTGTCGCTTAGAGGACGCAGACATACAGCGCCCCGCGGTGGCGACTGCTCCCCCCAACTACCTTAGCGCCGATCATAGTTGTTGTTCATATTGTGGTAGGTTTAATAGGCTTCCCAGGGGTGTGCCACTCTCACTTTTTATTTTGAATAAGAATAATGGAGGCAATGGACTAGGTCATTGGCTTTTACGATTTAGTTGGTTTTCGGTGAGGTACAGGTTTAGTGTTGCTCACCGAACAAGCTTATATATTAACTTTATTCCGATCGCGTAGAGGATTGGAAGGTGTCGTGTATTTCGTTGAAATCCGGGACCATAAGGACTGCGCGGGTACGATGGTTTTTCTCCCCATTGCGACATCTTCTTCTTGGCCTCAAACGAAAAGCTCATAAAGGACTGGTCCGATTCAGGTGTAGCATAAGCGGACTGGGGAGAGATGAAAGCCCGCACTGAACAGTCATTCAAAAGTGTACAAAAGAGTCACTTTGTTAGCTTGTCGCGAACCTCGCTCTAGACACATGAAGCTGCCTGCACAGGAATGACCTAGCTGACCCACCTTAGGCTCAATTCCGGAGACAGAAGCGCTTATCGGATGGCTTTTTCTCAAGATAATGGGTCTGCTAGGTGTACGCTGAAATATCTCCGCAATTCGGAATAGTAGTGAGATGCATGGCGCACTCAAATTGAGCAGTCAACGCCAGCCTCCTCTGTGAGGCTCAGTAGCTTCCAGCAATCATTTATAGCTTGTGATTAAGACTGTTATAGCTTCAAAATGTGCCACTTCTTCACCGTAATCGGGATTTTATCCTCGAATCACCCCCGCCTCCCCCTCCTTCCCGGATGGGTTGTTTGTACATGAACTCAACATGCTGACAGTGATGATTCACAATTACTAGTAGTAGAATTTGATTCCCAGTCGTAAAAAGTGCGAACGAAATTTCATAAAAGATTGATTTTTTATATATTAAGTGAGAATAGAACTTTCATAGAGAATTTAATTTTGTACATTTAGCCGCATCGGCTCAAGCAATCTGCGGCACCGGCAGTACTGACAAGTATGGTCTCATTTGCGGATTGCTCTGGTGTTTTGCAATGCTTACCGTGCACAGACTGTAGTTTTCGAAACGTTCTCAAGGCATGCTGTCCTAATACGGTAAGTCCTTTTTTAAGGATCAAAGTGGGCTCGATAAGCTGAAGACGTTTTTCACAGTAGTGGGTGTGTCGTTTCCGCTGCGGAAAGTAGGTTTGTGGTGCGAAGTGCTCTCCGAGCACCGCCAGTGAAGAAGAAAAGTACAAATTGCCAGAACCACTGAAAACAGGGCTTGTGTTGAGAGACGACAGATAGAGACAGCCCAAGAGATACCATGTGCTGAGGCGAGAGAACAGAATGTCGGCAATGAGAGAGTATGGATAGGAGCGAGGGTAGACACGGTTGGTTATGTGCGCTCCTGGGCGGAGCCCTGGCTGCTTGGTGGGCCACATGTGCATAGTTGACCATTAACACCTTTGGGTTACGCATTCATGTGACGAACTCGGTAAATCCTCCACTATTCTGGAACCCTCTACCTTTCTTACGCAAGAGTTTTTCGTGTGCAGATAATCGTGGGATGTGCCTTTAAGTAAAATTAGTTTTGTGGGCAGGTTGGTTCTCCACTGTAGCCAAATTACTTCGATTTTGCATCCAAAGCATTTTCGAACTAGAGAGGTGAGATCTCAAAGTATCACTTACCATCTGGTGGTCGAAGAGGTCTCTCGACTGGTTCTTACGAACAGGATTGATAATTGTTTATTTGATGACACTAGTGACATGGACTTGGCATGAGAGTGTCAGGAAATGATAAAGGCAGTGATCGCAGTGGCTGGAGGGCGGTGCGGTTTCGATAACGTCACTGAAAGGGGTTAAGAGGCGGTCCCATCTACACACCCAACACGCTGGGGTTTAGTCAACCGATGACGTTCAATGACGCCATCAACATCGCACCGCCCTCCAGCCATCGCATTTACTACTCTGAAGGGTTTAAGTAGGCCACGGGGTGCTTGTTGACCTTGGAGCTTTTTTTGACGAGAGAATGGCTCAACTTCTTCCTTTTTTCCGATTGTTTTTCGGTGACATGGTAACATGGTCACATTCGCACAGGCTGCTTTTACGTTCGTCGTCATAAATTTTCTCCTTCATAGTGATCGCGCCTTTGGAGCGCTGGAGTATTTATACAATGATAACATTTCAACCCCATTCCACTTGTAGAGGTTCCCTCAACCACCTGTGAAACCTTTTTCAGAATTGGCAGCATAGTTATCGCTTTCAGGAGTCCTTACGTCGTCTGATCAGCTGCGAATGCGTCCGACAACATCTAGAAGGTCGGCAACCCGGTGCTAGTTCAGGGTGCTGCTTCGTCGTCGATAATCCTTAGACGCAGAGGAGATATGCCTGAGCAACAGTTCATGCTACATCTGTCTTTACGGATACAATTGCTTTTCTTTGTGATGGTTCCAAAAATACAATCCTAGCGAAAAGAATGGCTGCTGCATGAATTCAACTTTAGTAGGGAATCTATGGGTGCCAAAGGTTCAGTTCGTGCATTATTGTGTGACTCGTGCGTCAGTGCCCGCCCACCAGTGCGGCATCTGCGTCTCGCCCATCCGCTATGCTCTCTCGCCTCTGAGTGTTATATCTAGCTAGTGTCAGCTCACGAGCTAGTGTCTCTCGAATTTGTGACTCATCCAACTTTCCTCCACTGGAGAGTCTTTTAGCATCCACACCTTTATATTTAATATCCATTTTCCCTTCGCTAACGTAAACTGTATCTTTAAAGTCCACCAAAATCGTTCCGCTCATACCTCTAGCACAGCTTCTTTCTGATGGTAAGGGGCAGGCTGCGGGGTAAGGGATATAGGCGCCGATGCGAGAGAACGATAGGCGACACGAGTGAGCGTGGAGGGGGGGTGGGTGTGGGGAGCATAGTCGATATTGCTAAGGGTGGGCGCGCGACCAGTTTTGGGTGCGAGTAATTAGCGTTCAGCGTCTGAAATGTTTCTAGGGCATCGACTGTCAAGATGGCTTCTCGTACAGCATCATCTGCTGGTTCTTGCTCTGTCGGCTCATTCACAGCATTCCACTCACCTACTTGTGAAGTGTGTCTTTAAGTTCTGTTACGGTAACTGCAACGTTCAACTGTTGAGTTGCTCGATGACTTATTTGCAATAAGAGCGCACTTGCCCACAGTTCGAGTTAAGGGGAGTAATCGGGTAGAGTAGCACGCTAACTTTTCTAAGATCTTCTCAAAACTTCATGTTTTGGTTCGCTTCGTGCATTTTTTGCCCTCGTACAAGATGTATGTATCGTATCTAGTGTGGTTTGTAAATACATCGTTTTGAGTGTTTTGCGATGTCTAAAACAGTTTTTTATTTAACGAAACATATTGCAGATTTTCCGGCCCCAAATTCTGGGATTCCTAGCAGAACATGTCTGCTTTATTTTCTATCTGAATTAGCACTAGTAAGTGACGCAATATGACACAATCTAGTTGTAATTCCAAACAGGAAACAAAAAATTGGCGTGAAAATGATTAACAAGTTAAAACGAAAATGAACTTAAAGGCAGCGGTCACGATGCTAGAGGGCGTTGGGTTTTGATGACGTCAGTGGGCGTCATTGGTGAAGGGTGTTAAGAGGCCATTCTTACCACGCCCACCATCCACTAATCTATCAGTGGCGTTCAATGACGTCATCAAACCCGCAACGCCGCCCCTTTCCGTCTTGATCTCTGCATATGAAAAAAAAAACAATGCAGTACGGAGTGCAATCAGATCTGACTAGCGATTCTACTTCATCTGAATTTCAACACTAACATAGATGAAGCTTGTTGAAACATTAAGCTGGCGATATCCGAGTGATGAGCAAATCGATGATTAAAAGTAGGAGATCAAGCATAATTGTAGTCGAATCAAAATACGCTCAGCGTCAGCTCTGCAAAATATCAAAATTGTTTATCATTTCTCACAGAGGCCGTGAGCATATGGGCGGTCACCTAAACCTTTCTAGGTGACCGTCCATATGCTCACGGCCTTTCCTTTTTCACAACTAATGGACCGGGGGTTCACCAATGGGATTAGTGCAATGAGTGAGGTGACTCCGCCCAAGAGACGCCTGACCGCAAGGCGAAATATCATGGGAAGCCTTCAGGGACAGCTCTCATTAGTTGGTCTGTTTAGGATACGCCGCGGTCCCAAGTTCCATTTACATAGTCGTAGAAGTTCGTAGAAATGTTTGAAAACATATTAAATAGAATGCTTAGTGATTTTCTATGGCAAGTCAAGCTGCCTTAGATACAACCACTGATTATGTTAGTTGTTTAGTCGGCACCAATAACTCTTTATTGCCTCACATTTCTAGGATTGGGAGGAGTTCTTTCTGAAATTTCTCTTAGTTTCAATTTTATTAAGGTTTGCCGCCAATTGTGGCGTAGCCGTAAGACGACTAATCTAATCCATTTGATGGGAATGCGCTCCCGATTAGTACCCGCGACCCAGGCGTCAACTTCAACCTCATACTTGTTCGGCGCGAGCGTCTGTAGCGCTAGTTATGGCACTCTGACGACAAACGAGTGAGATATACCTCTCTGAACAAGTTTTTGCAGCTAGCGTTGTGTTTTTTGGCGCCTTTTGGCGTCGACCCATGTGCGAGGCGTATTTTCACCAAACAGATGCGATACTCGTGCTCGGACGAGGTACCCTCTTCTCCTCGAGTCACGCTAAATTCAACAACCACGACAAGTTTCCAAAACAATCCATCTTGTTCTTGCAATAAGGGGGGGGGGCAGTACACGATAAATAGAGCCGTTTTATCCTGACAGAAAAATCTAGTTCAAGCAAAAGGTGGCGGTAAAAAAGCAGGGTTGATCAATCTCACTTGGTTCTGATGTGCAAAGGTAGGGAACGGCGCAATTAGTCCCTGCGCTGATTTTGCCCTATTTCCTGCTTATGCCATAATTTATAATAAGCTCACTCACAAGTGGTTATTCAGAATGTTCTTTAGTGGGAAGCAATATTGGCGATGGGCGCACGATAGCTTCACAAGCGACAATCTTCATTCTGAAAAATAGATGCTCGGCTGGGTTCATGGTAGAGTCGCTACTTCTTTAACTCACTTTGCAATTTTGCACTCAAATTGCCAGATGATGTCATGAAACTCGATATCCTTCAATATGAAAGTCCATACGTTATCACAATATCTATAGGCTAACAGTCTGTCGGATTTGAACTGCATCTGAATAAGATATTATGTTAGGAGTAGACCGTGAAGCTAAGGCAGCAGTTATACTCGGCGGAAGCCACTGGGAAACGCCTACTGCAAACGAGAGAACGTTCGGGCAAAGGAGAAGGAAGAGTGGTCGAAAAATGTATGGGTAGAGGCGCGTTGATCACAGTCGACCGTCCGTCCTATCCCGACAGGTTCGATTTCTGAGAGGGGTCGTAGTTGGGGTTGACAAGGATGGAAGGGTGAAGGGTATATTTACCCTACCACTTCTTTCGCTACACGGTCATTTCGGAGGGAAAAACTGGACAAGCTTGGAGTGTGTCGACTGGTCTCAACATGATCAAATACTATCGAAACAGCCATGATGGTCGAGGGTGGTTGAAGTGGGGGGTCGTATCGACGCCCCTCAAAGAGGTAGGATCCTACTGAAAGTGGCCGACTGCGACAGTTCCCGGGCTTCGACTGGAAGTATCTCTCGTCTACATGAACACTCTTGTTGTAAGAGGCTCAGAATGTTTGCCACCCCAACGTTTTTGAGTAGCCTAAAAATGGTCCAGCTCAGAGTTCAGCGTTGTGAACTATCTGCTACCACTCAAAGTCGACGATCGGCCAGCTTATGCCGCCTTGTTGATTCTCTCTT